CTCTCAGCCAAACCAGTGATTTCAGCTTAGTGATTTCAACTCTCAGCCAAACCAGTGATTTCAGCTTAGTGATTTCAACTCTCAGCCAAACCAGTGATTTCAGCTTAGTGATTTCAACTCTCAGCCAAACCAGTGATTTCAGCTTAGTGATTTCAACTCTCAGCCAAACCAGTGATTTCAGCTCTCAACTGAATCCAGCTTTCACTGGACTAGCAAACAAAAAGACTCCTCAGGGAGTCTGCTTTAGGTCTGTCCTTAAAACAAAGGGGGAAAGGTGCAGGCTGGGCCAGTCTTATAGCTCACACCTGGTAGGTGTGAAGCAGGCTGACTCAAGTCCTTTAACCCTTTCCCCCAGCTCTGTTCTCTCAACTCTGGAAGGGGGGAGGCTTGTTCTTCCGAGACCTCTTGCCATGATGGTGGTGTCTCTCCTGCAAGCACTGGTGGCATGTTTGACAGTTCCCACATTTAGGGGTAGCATGATTAGTTACCCCCACAACAGTCCCAAATTATATACAATTCTCCACATTCCATTCCAACACTGACCCTCCATCAGCCCTGGCTGAATGGGATTTACATAGCCACACCTTGGATTCTCTCCTGAGCAGTATTTACATGTCAACAGTTAACAGTTAATTACCTTGTAGAGCTAAACAACTGTAGTGGGCACACCCACCCCTCCTTTCAGCTGGCTGACAGCAAGCAGCAGTTCAGCCCCTTCTTACACAACAAATTCTATTTTTCCTTGGACTCGTAGTATGCTCGCAATTTGCATGCTTGCAGCAAATTTTGTTTAATGTCAGCTGCTCTGATTTTCTCTTTGTTTCTTTTTGGCTAGAAAGCAACTGTTTAAAAAAGTCAAACTGTGGCTGCGAGCTACTTTGTACAAGCCTGGCACTGGCAGGAGGAGCAAAGAGGGTGGGGAGAATCACAGTTTTCCAGGCAGCCTGAGAAAGAAACTGTTCCTTCTTTCATTCACTTTTGCTAAGGGATTTCTTTCACCTTCAGTGCAGGTCTTTGTGCTGTTCCTCTCCCCGTGTCTGTCCTCGTGCAGCCATCAGAGTTGCAGGGGTTTCTGAAGGTAGATCAGAGAATTTTGAGTTCATTTACTGTTTGAGATACAACATGCATGGCTCCTGGTCCCTCTCATGTGCTATAAAAACACCAAGTAGGGAATGGGAACCTGGATTGTCACCCTACCAGGACTGTCATCATGTGCATTAATTGGGTGTGCCCCTGAAGTAGGGATCATATGAAGCACTCTATGGCTGAGAGAGTCCAGATGTGGTTTAATGGACAATCCTGTGATGGGGGGGAACATATGTGCTGGGGGATATGTACGTGTGTTGGCTGAGTGCTTGTGTGTGGATCAGTGTAGGGGACGAGTATGCCATGGACAGTGCGTGAGGTTGCATGTGGCTCTGTCTGAGTAGTCGCGACAGGGCATGTGGGTGTGTGCGCGTTTACAGCTGTGTCCAAGTGGGTGGGTATGGCACTGTCTGAGTGTACTGGTAACAACATGTCTGTTTCAGGGCTCGTAACCCAGAGCCAGGCTTTGATGTGACTTCACCACATCCAAATCAAGGCTGCCCAGTGACTGAAGTCCTGCCAGTTGGCAGCCCTCAAATGCTTCCTAAAGCCTCAGCATTAGCCTTGTAAAATAAAGGCCATTTCTGATGTTTCCACTCTCTTTTAAGTCCTCCTGGGAGTGCTGACTGTTGTGTTTACCCCACTCTCTTGCCCTGTCTGTTTGCGGCCTGGTTTCTGTAGCCAGGCAACACTTGTTAGGTTTACTTAGTGGTCTCCACAGGGACAGACTACACAGGTAAAGGTGCGTGACGGAACAGACTGCCACTGTGTTGTGGCAAAGGTCCCTTAACTTCAGCCATGAAAGGATTGACCCCGAGGAGAGACATGGGGGAGGAGGCTGATTCGGCAGGGCACTCATTGGTTACAATGATGTTGCTGAGTTGTGGTTGAACAGCTGCTCCCTCAAATTACTTTGCAACCTCAGGCCCTTAGGGTTTTTTTTTTTTTTTTATGATTTATTACATTGCTTCTTAACTGGTGCAAATCTGCCTGCATAGGCTGACTGGCTAGGTAAGGGAGCAGCTTCTTCAGGGAGACCCACAGGTTGAGACCCAGTGCCCTCTCCTTAGAAAGATTGTGGAGGCGATTTCCCATTGGCCACAAAAGACCCCAAGGAGGCTTGAATGCTGTGCCAGACCACCCTCAGGCTTCATCGCCATGTCCTCATGGAACAGCCTGCTCATGGCCATGCTCATGTTCTGTGTTTCTCCCTGTCTGGCAGTACGCCAAGGCGGTGAAGCTTTTTGGAGAAAACGAGGGTAAGATGCAGCCAGATGAATTTTTTGGCATCTTTGACACCTTCCTTCAGTCGTTCGCAGAGGCCAAGCAAGATCTGGAGACTATGAGGAAGAAGAAGGAGGAGGAGGAGCGCAGGGCACGCATGGAGGCCATGGTGAGAATCTGGTGAAGGGGGTAGGGAAATGGGATACTCCTTTTCTTGCCTGCCTCTCAAGAACAGGGGCCAAATGAGACAATTCCCCCACTCAAGCTCCATCTCTGCCACTGCTTCACACACCATCTGTCACTGTCTCCTTTGCTCCCACAAGCCTGGCTCTCTTCCACCTGTCTCCTCATTACTCCT